TCATTGCTCATTGTGGGGGTGTGGAGGAGGGGGAGAAGGGGTATCCAAGTTTTGGCTCCAATCTGCCTATAAACCATATCCAAGTACTCTGCTGAAAAAAATAGGTGTGGAGTCAGTCAGGGGCTGAGCAGTTTCAGAGGGTTTTGTAAAGACAAGGACAAGTCCCTGAGGGCACAGTAGACACCTGGGGTGTAGACCAAAGAATGTTCAGCTTCAAGGTCACTGGTTAGGTCCTGAGGGTTTATTCCAGAAGATCAGGGAAGAACATGGCTGTGAGGATGTCTGGCATCCAATGTCAGGGGGCAGGGCACAGTCCTCAGTCTGGGAGGTCGTGGAACAGATCTGTCAACAGTTCCTGTGCTGAGTTCTGGGCTCGAGAGCCAGATACTCGAGCAAACAGGACCTGAGGCCAGGCTAAGTGGCTTGTGCTGAGAACTCTTTCCTGAGTGTAATGGGAGCTTTGGAGGGGACAGCAGGGCAAGATGCAAGTCATTTCCCTCAGGGGGAAGCAGGGACAGATTGAATGCAGAAGTAACAGAGTGTGTTTCTGCTCCTGTGGCCTGTCCCAGCAGCCCACGCTGGTGGAAACCTTCTCTGCCCATTACAGGGGGGCTTCCGAGCCCTGAACTCAGTCCTTCTGCAGTGTGAGCCAAATCCAGGGCCTCAACCAGCCCTCTTGCTTTGGCTGATGCCCTTGTGTGTCACCCAGGCTCCCAGCCCAGAGCCTCCTCTTTGAGTGGATAAATATAGCACGTTCACGGAACAGCACACGCCTGAGTACATCCCTACTTTCCACATAAAGAAATAACATCCCCCCCCGCCCCACCCCCACCTTGCCTCCCATACAGACAGGAATCTTTGTCATGAAATTAAATGGAAAGAGATAATGGAACTGAAAGTGCTTTGAAAAGGAAAGAGGACTAGAATGGGGGCTTTCAGGGCTTTTTTGTTTTTTTTTTTTTCCCCTCTTAAGCAGCCGACTCTTCTTCAAATAAAATCTTACTGTACATCCGTTTATCCATCTGCTCCCATGATGCAGCCTTTGGGGACATCTCACATTTCACATGTCCAAAACTACTATCCTCTTTAAATCTGTTCCTCCCCTACCTTCTCATCTTCGTTCAGGTACCTCTTCTCACCCACGTGTTCATGCTGGAAGTTGGGGCGGGGGCAGCCATGATGCACCCCCCTCACAAGCTGTCAGTCCTCCCCCAGATCATCACCCTTCCTGTGGGCTCTCCTCCAACATGGGTCTCTAGTCCATTCTGAGCTCTCCATCCCTCCCCCATCCCTCTGGACCAACCACTACTTACCTGGATTCTGTAACAGCTCTACCTTTTCTCCCTCAGACTGCAATGCCCACTTTCTAGTCCAACCTTCATTGCTCATTGTGGGGGTGTGGAGGAGGGGGAGAAGGGGTATCCAAGTTTTGGCTCCAATTTGCCTATAAACCATATCCAAGCACTCTGTTGAAAAAAATAGGTGTGGAGTCAGTCAGGGGCTGGAGCAGTTTCAGAGGGTTTTGTAAAGACAAGGACAAGTCCCTGAGGGCACAGTGGACAGCTGGGGTTTGGACAAAAGAATGTCCAGCTTCAGGGTCATTGATTGGGTCCCGAGGGTTTATTCCAGAAGGCCAGGGAAGAACATGGCTGTGAGGATGTCTGGCATCCAATGTCAGGGGGCAGGGCATACTCACATACTGGCCAGAGTAGAATATACACAGAGTCATGCATAAATCATAACCGGTAAGTCTGACGAATTTGCCTAAACTAGTTGTTGTGCAACCAAAACCCAACTCAAGAAACAGAACATCACCTGTATCCCAGAAGTCCCCATATGCCCCCTCCTTCAGTTTAGTTCAGTTCAGTTCAGTCGCTCAGTTGTATCTGACTCTTTGCGACCCCATGGACTGCAGCACGCTAGGCCTCCCTGTCCATCACCAACTCCTGAAGCTTGCTCAAACTCATGTCCATCAAGTCGGTGATGCCATTCAACCATCTCATCCTCTGTCGTCCCCTTCTCCTCCCGCCTTCAATCTTTCCCAGCATCAGGGTCTTTTCCAGTGAGTCAGTTCTTCACATCAGGTGGCCACAGTATTGGAGTGTCAGCTTCAACATCAGTCCTTCCAATGAATATTCAGGACTGATTTCCTTTAGGATGGACTGGTTGGATCTCCTTGCAGTCCAAAGGACTCTCAAGAATCTTCTCCAACAACACAGTTCAAAAGCATCAATTCTTGGGCACTCAGCTTTCTTTATAGTCCGACTCTCACAGCCATACATGACCACTGGAAAAACCATAGCTTTGATTAGATAGACCTTTGTTGGCAGAGTAATGTCTCTGCTTTTTAATATGCTATCTAGGTTGGTCATAACTTTTCTTCCAAGGAATAAGTGTCTTTTAATTTCATGGCTGCACTCACCATCTGCAGTGATTTTTTGGAGCCCCCAAAAATAAAGTCAGCCACTGTTTCCACTGTTTTCCCATCTATTTCCCATGAAGTGATGGGACCAGATGCTATGATCTTAGTTTTCCGAGTGTTGAGCTTTAAGCCAGCTTTTTCACCCTCCTCTTTCACTTTCATCAAGAGGCTCTTTAGTTCTTCTTCACTTTCTGCCATAAGGGTGGTATCAACTGCATATCTGAGGTTATTGATATTTCTCCCAGCATTCTTGATTCCAGCTTGTGCTTCATCCAGCCCAGTGTTTCTCATGATGTACTCTGCATATAAGTTAAATAAGCAGGATGACAATATACAGCCTTGATGTACTCCTTTTCCTATTTGGAACCAGTCTGTTGTTCCATGTCCAGTTCTAACTGTTGCTTCCTGACCTGCATACAGATTTCTCAGGAGGCAGGTCAGATGGTCTGGTATTCCCATCTCTTTCAGATTTTTTTCCCCCACAGTTTATTGTGATTCACACAGTCAAAGACTTTGGCATAGTCAATAAAGCAGAAATAGATGTTTTTCTGGAATTCTCTTGCTTTTTCAATGATCCAGTGGATATTGGCAATTTGATCTCTGGTTTCTCTGCCTTTTTAAATCCAGCTTGAACATCTGGAAGTTAACGGTTCACATATTGCTGAAGCCTGACTTGGAGAATTTTGAGCATTACTTTGCTATTGTGTGAGACGAGTGCAATTGTGCAGTAGTTTGAGCATTCTTTGGCATTGCCTTTCTTTTGGATTGGAATGAAAAATGACCTTTTCCAGTCCTGAGGCCACTGCTGAGTTTTCCAAATTTGCTGGCACATTGAGTGCAGCACCTTCACAGCATCATCTTTTAGGATTTGAAATAGCTCAACTGGAATTCCATCACCTCCACTAGCTTTGTTCGTAGTGATGCTTCCTAAGGCCCACTTGACTTCACATTCCAGGATGTCGGGCTCCAGGTGAGTGATCACACCATCGTGATTATCTGAGTCATGATGCCCCCTGTCCCAGTCACCCGCATTACTCTCCCAGGACAATTATCATCCTTATTTCTAATATCATAGATTCATTTTGCCCCTTTTGAACTTTACATACAAGAATCAATACAATGTGTATTTTATACCACTGTGTTTGAGAGATCCACCCACACTGCTCTCTATGTAGTTAGTTTGCTTGTGTTCATTGTTGTATAGTATTCCATTGCCTAAATTATCATTATTTGTTCAGTCAAACACTGAGAGACATTTGAGTGGTTTATAGTTTGAGACTTTCTCAAAGTGATGTTGTCGATATTTTTGTCTTCGGTGTATGTCAGTGTGTATTTGAGTTGGGTATCTACTTAGGAGTAGAATTGCCTCATCATAGATTATATGTATGTTCAAAGAGTGATATCTTTACAGCATAAGCAGATGGCAGCATTCCTTCACTTAAACCCTCCATGGCTTCCCATTGGCTTTAGAATAATGTCCTGACTTTTTATGTCAACTCACTTGGGCTTTGCATGCTCTGCCACCTGCTCACTTCTCCCTCCCTGCCTCAAATCCTGCTCTTATACAAGGTGTTTTTCCACCAGATCGGTGTTCTAGTCCATTCTTTCACCTTGCCAAGCTTCCTTCTCTGCCAAAGGGCCACTTGCTTGATGTGCTGCAGTTTCCAACTGGTCAGTTATTCTTTATGTTGCTGGTCAGATAGAATATCCTCAGAAAAACCTCTCCTGATCCGCTAACGTAACTGAGAAATCACTATTTTTGTTTCTCATTGCCCAGCTCATAATTGCACAGAACTGAATGTGAAACTGTCTCATTGTTAATGACTGCCCCACCCAGCAGACTAGGCAACAAGGGACTGGGACTGTCATGTTCACTGTTAGATCCTCAACACTTTACACCAGGTAGGAACATAGTAAGGGGTCAATAAGTAACAATACTCTTGGGACTTCCCTGGTGGTCCACTAGCTAAGACTCAGTGCTTCCAGTGCAAGGGGCCTGGGTTCAGGCTCTGATCAGGGAACTAGATCCCACATGCCATGACTAACAGTTCATATGCTGCAACTAAAGATCCCACATGCTGCAATGAACACTGAAGATCCCACTTGCTGCAACTAAGACTCAGCACAGCCAAATAAATAAATATTTAAAAATTAAAAACAAGTAAATAGGAGCTTCCTTGGTGGTTCAGTGGTAAAGAATCCACCTGCCAATGCAGGAAACATTGGTTTGATCCCTGATCTGGGAAGATCCTACTTGCCTTGGAACAACTAAGCTCATGAACCTCAGCTATTGAGCCTGTGTTCTAGAGCCTGGGAGCCACAACTACTGAACCGATGTGCTGCAACTATTGAAGCCCGTGCACCCTGGAGCCCATGCTCCACAAGAGAAGCCACTGCAATGAGAGGCCCATGCACTGCAGCTAGAGAGTAGCCCCCACTCTCCATAACTAGAGAAAAGGCCACACAGCAGCAAAGCTCTGGATCAGCCAAAAATAAAAATTAATAAATAAAATTTTAAAAATAAATAAATAAAAAGTAGCAACACTCTTACCTACTCTGTAGAACTGAGGCCTGGTAGTCACACAGGGACCAGGGTGCAAATCTTGTCTCCATTACTCACTACTCTTGTGCAGTTAGGCAAGTTACCTAGGTTCCCTGGGCCTCCATTTCCTCCTCTGGAAAACAGAGATAATCCTGTAGCTTGAGAATGTATGTGATTACATCACCTAACACAGTGTCAGCCGAGTGGTGCTGATTAAGCAGCGGCTTTCTATGCACCAGCTCTTTGAAGCCTCACTACAATCCCAGGGGCAGGAACTATTTTAAATCCCCATCTCATAGATGAGGAAACTGAGAAACTAAGGACCAGGGAGGTTAAATACTTTGTCTAATCACTCAGGCTCCAGGCCTTAAGCCTTCCTTCATGACAGTGTGGGTGGTAGCATGTGAAAGATAATAAAAACAGAGGAGAGGGGCAGAGATGAGCTCCAAATAGCCAACCCCACTCACTCCCATCCCTTTTACATCCATTCATCCCCATGAAACCCAAAGGTTAGGACCATAGCATGAAAACCCCTGGGTTACACAAACATCCATGATTATTAATAGCTATGAGGGAAAAAATAGAAAGATCTGATTACAGAAAAAAATTCAAAGTTCTATATAACAAAAGACATCACAAACAAGGTCAAAAGAGAAATGAGAGTGTGGGAGAAAATATCTAAACTTCATATAATAAAGGTTTACTCTGCCTGTTATGAACATACTCCTGCAAATAAACTGGAAAAATACAAATGATCCAATGGAAAAATAGGCAAAGAATATGAACAGAAGAGGAAATGACAGTGGTCAACAAACAATGTGTAAGCAGAGAAATGAAAATTAAATAATGAGCTCCTGCTTGTCTCCTAATATTAGCAAAAATGAAAAATATTGGTAACATTCATGCTGATGAAGGCATAAGAAAAGCAGCACTACAATACCCATCATTCAGCTGTAAAAATACTGGAACTTTTAGGAAACGTTTTCTAAAATATTATGAAACAAGTAACATGCAACAACTTTCAGAAATTAGAGCAATAATGGATGGTGATATAAACAGATACAAAAATAGTCATTTCAACATTTCTGTAATAACAAGAACCTACAAACATTTCAATTGCATCAATACAGTTATATATTACATAGCTACTAAGTGAGGTAGATCCATATGTGCCAACTTAAAATTATTTCTAAAATGAATAAAGTAAAAAAGAATGTCAAGGAATAATATCTATGGCTTTAGTCTTCTGTTTCACAGAAAACAAAAGTAAACATAACCAAATCACCCCAAACACCTCTTTAAGCAGTTACAGTACTCTGGTGGCTTAAATGGGAAGGAAATCCAAGGAAGAGAGGATATATGTATACACGTAGCTGATTCACTTTGACGGACAGCAGAAATTAACACAGTATTACAAATCACCTATATTCCAATTTTTTTTTTAAAAAAAAGCAAGAGAAAAAAGTAGGAAAATCAAGTTTCTAATTACAGTGTGTGAAAGGAGTCAGACTGGAGGGTCTTTGGCTTAAGACACATCTTTAAGTTTAAATTGTTGCAGTGAGCATAAACTTTATTAAAAATTAATTAATAAGCCCTGCTCATTAATAATGACTCAAGAAATACTGCCTACCTGTCTATTCTTATAAAATCTTTCCTGATTTAACATTTACTTTGCTTCAATTCCTACAAATAAGCTGCTGGATTGGAGAGAAGGTGTTAATTGTCTTCTGAACAATTTCCTCTGATTAACCTTTTGGCTTGCTCTGCTGCCCAGCCTCTCAGGAAAAAGAAACCTGATATCATTATTATTCTAAAAAGAAACCTATGTTCTGAACATACAGTACATGCACGCAGTAGAAAATTCAAAAATGAACAAAAGAGTATATAATAAAAAGTGAGTCTTTTTCTCTCCCTAGTACCCAGCCACCCAGTTCTACACTGTTTTCTTACCTATCTTTTCAGAGATATTCTAGGCATGTATATGTATATAGTCTATTTTTTAGAACACTAATGCTATACATAATGTCTATATACATGGATACATTTTGTGATTTCTTCTAGCCAGAGCCTGATTAGTTCCAAGGTTGCACTTCTTTCCTGCTTGAGAAGTCAAATTTCCATAGCAGTGGCAGTTTATCAATCCATTCATCCATCCATCAGTCTATCTGCCCATCCACCATTCATCTAATAGCATCCACTGACAAGGGTTTGGTGACCACTCACTCTGTGCCAGGCACTAGGTTAGAAGCTGAATATAAAGTGATGAAAAGATAAGGTCCTTGCTCTCACCCAGCTGGCCTTCTGAAAAGTAACAAATTATATAGAAGAAGACAAATAATAAAAGAAAACTAACATATTTCAGACAATGGAACATGCCTTGGAGAGACTCATTCTCAGTTAAGAGAGGAGGGAAGGAGGAGAGCTAAAAAGGAGAGGGAGGGGAGGGAGAAACAGGGCTTATTTTAGGTGGATGGTCAGAGAAGACCTCCCTTGTGAGGTGACATTTAAGCTAAGAACTGAGTGAGGGGAAGGAGAAAATGTTGCAGGTTTCCCTGCTCTGCTGACTTTAGAATGAGCAATTCCATGGGCAGAGTCTCAACCTAATCTGAGTGGTGATGAGGGTGGGCTCTGAAGACCTGGTGGCATTCACTTGAACCCCAGCTCTGCCACTGAAAGCCAGGGGAGCCTTGGGCAAAATGCTTAAGCTCTCTGTGCCTCAGTTTCCTCACCTGTAATACAAGGTCATGTAAAAATAGTACCAGCTTAAAGGATCACAGTGAAAATTAAGCAGGTTAAGCAATGTGGTCTGCCCAGACTGGCACAAAGAAAGTGATCAAAATATGATAAACTTTTTAAAAATTATGTTAGGTATAGTTCTCAGATGAAAAGTCAAAAGCATGCTCTATAAAAGAAGACAGTGATAAAAGTTTTTATCAAAATTAGAAATATTTGCTCTATGAAAGACATTGTTCAGAGAATGAACAAAGAAGTTGCAACCTGAGAGAAAATATTTGCAAATCACTTATTGGACAAAAGGCTTATATCCAGAATATACAAAGAACTCTCAAAACTTAGTAAGAAAACAATCCAACTAAGAAATGGACCAAAGACTTGACCAGACACCCCACCAAAGAGGATGCATTATGCAAAAACACATGAAAAGATATTTAACAGCATTAGCCTTTATGAAAATGCAAAATAAAACCATGATGAGATACCACTACACACCTATAAGAAGAATCTGATGGGATTTCCCTGGTGGTCCAGTAACTAAGATTGTGCTCCCAATGCAGGGAGCAGTTCCCTACTCAGGGAACTAGATCCCACATACCACAGCTAAAGAGCCTGCAAGCTGCACCTAAGACCCAAGTGCAGCCAAATAAAAAAATAAATAGTTGTTGCTTTTCTTAAGAATCTGACCATACCAAAATTAAAAAAAAAAAAAAAAGAATCTGACAATACCATGTGCTGACAATATACAGAGAAACTACACTGGAAGTCCAAAGTGGTACAGCCACCCTGGGAAAAACAGTTTGGCAGTTTCTTATAAAGTTAAACCTTTACTTTACATATGCTCATTCCTAGGTGATTACCCTAGAGAAATGAAAACTTATGTTCACATACAGACCTATACACAAATAGCAGCTCTATTCATAATCCTCAAAAACTAGAAGCAGCCCAAAGGTCCTTTAAGGGATGAACAGATAAACATACTGTGGTAAGTTCATACTACTAGAAAGCTAAAAAAAAATACGAACTCCTGATACATGCAACAGCTGAATGAACAGGAAAGGAGCCAGTCTCATACAGTTACGTACTATGTGATCCCTTTTATATGACATTCTTGAAAAGACAAAGCCACAGCAATGGAGAGCAGATCAGTGTTGTCAGGGGCCAGTGTGGGGAGGAATGTGACTACAGAGGGACAACTCCAGGTGGTCTGGGGCTGATGGAACTTACATGCATCCTGATTATGCTGATGGTTACACAAACCTACATGCACATCAAAATTCAAACAAATATACACCAACAAGTCAATTTCATCACATGTTAATTTTTTTAAATAAGAAAAATAAAAAATGATTAATGATACTGTCATTCTAACTGAGTCACTCACTCACTTCCAATCTCTCCTCCCTCCTTTCTTCTTATTTTCTGTAGCCAGAAACTTTTTCAGGAAGAGGCACTTCTGCCCTCTAAATATTTTAAAACATCCTTAATAACTTGGGCTTCCTCCTGGTGGCTCAGGTGGTAAAGAATCTGCCTGCAATGTGGAAGACCCAGGTTTGATCCCTGGGGTGGGTAGATCCCCTGGAGAAGGAAATGGCAACCCACTCCAGTATTCTTGCCGCAGAATCCCATGGACAGAGGAGTCTACCGGTCTGCAGCCCATGGGGTGGCAAAGAGCTGGACACAACCAAGCCACTAACGATAACTTGCTGCTTTGTTTCTCTGCATACAAAGGTAATACATTTTTGTTGGAAAGAAAAGAAAAAGGAAGGGAAAGAGGGAGGGAGTCAGGAAGAATTCAGTCATTACAGAAATGTGTGAAGTAGAAAGCAAAAGGCATCAGGAATCTTGCCCTCCAGAATTAACCCCTGGGAGGAGCTTCTGCCAGAACCATTTCAAAGTGATTTTATACTGTTGTTTCCTTACAAGGTTCAGAACCCATATGGTGGGATTTCATTTGATTGATTGTTCAGGGAAACATGGAGGCCCCTGGGGAGAATGACCTTGAAAGGTCAACATCCAGTCCATTCTCATACCAAGTCAAGCCTTTTCACAGCTGGATGAAGTCTAGGGTGATCTAGTTCATTAAAGGTCATCCAGTCCCTTCCTGTCCCTCTCTGCTATGACTTCTACAAGACTCCATGTCTCTCACAGCAGCCTGTTCCCCTCACCTTGGGCTCTCCCTCTGTGCCCTGGCTACCTCTTCCCTCTCACCCAGCTCTATTTGCAATCATTGTTTGAATCATCCAGTCAACGTGCAACAAATCACTCACTATCTGTTCCTTCCTCCCTTCCTTCAAAGATACTTGCTGAGCACGTGATATGTGTACTGTGCTGAGGCATAGGAATACCTCGGGAACAAGATTCACACAATTCCCACCCTACCAGAGCCTCCATTCTAGT